TAAAAGTGTTTCAAATAATTATCTCTCTTTCAAGCGTATGATCCGTCATGAAACCGGTCAATGTATAGGTATATTAACTTTTTAATTGACGAGCTAAGCTCTATCCTTTACTCGATCAAAGTCCAAACGTAGTTAGGTTTCGTTAGTTCGTGAGAAGAAAAGAAAAATGAGAAAGGTAGGTAAATAGATAGATAGATAGATAGATAGATAGATAGACGATAAATGAGTACGTATTTAGGTACTTACGTATATACTTAGATAAATAATTTACCTAGTGAAATACCTAGGTAAGCTTTTTTGTTTTATTCGAAAAATTATTCTTCTTTTTCTGTTCGTTCGTGGGAAAATTCACGCAATTAATCGTGACACGATGTTACTTTTACATGAAGTATATCAACGTATATAAAATACGACCGAATTTTCGACTTACCTACCTACCTATCTACCTACCTACCTACCTACCTACCTACCTACCTACCTACCTATCTATCTATCTACTGTATTTAACAAGTTCCTCGAACGTTTTCCTCTTTTCGTAATATGCAAGTAATAGCTGACGCGTAATTACACGTCATTGCCACGCGACTTTGTCCTGATATACGATGTTTAATGAGGGTGAGCTTTCGCGTTTAACCCTCTTTTCCCTGAAACGGTCACGTGAACGGAAAGAGACATCGAGGACATCGGCACACATGTAACTAACTTGACGATCTTTCATGTAATAATAATTAATGATCATATAATTGGACTGCAATCAAGAAAGGACTCGATGATTATTATCGATGATCATTTAGTAGTTATGATTGTTATTATTATTATTATTATTATTATTATCATTATTATTTTTATTTTTATTTTTATTTTTGTAGTTAAAGGATGAACGACCGATGATGAATTCAATAAGACATTATTCGGGTAATATGTTAAACGTTTAAATTAATTATTTCAAACGTTAAACTATCGAGGATTATTTTTCAAGAATAATCATTTGGTTATTTCACGTACGCCTCGTTAGAAAGAGGCAAGAAGTCATAGATTGCGTCAGTCCGACGGGCACATGGCGCAACGTGCTCTATCTTCTCTCGGTCGACCTCGTGAAACCTTTATTGGCTCATAATTTTCTCTCCCGTGCACACAGACACGATTACACATCTACGTATATACCTAAGTTCTAACGTGTATTACGACACGGTGCGTCCAAGCATTTGAGAAAGGGAGTGAAAGGGAAGAGGAGAGGATTGGGGGAGGATGGAGGAAGGACGGATCTTTTAGGATCTCAACCTTTGTTAGTATCCAAACTATTCGGATAGTTGTTCTTCTCTTCCGACGTGTCCTTTTGTCCTTTGAATATGTATCTGCACAGAAAAGTAATGATTAAATTTTTAGTTTCATATAACATAAATATAACGATGCATTATCATCGATCAAATTTCTTGTCTTATCGATTTATGATAATATCATGTTTAAGAGAATGTAAGATCTCGAATGTAAGAAATATTTTCGTACGCATTATATTATTATGAAACATAATTGATTGGTAAAAAAAATTCCATATAGATAATTAATATAGCCTAAATTATATTTTCAATTTGACGACGAGTTATAAAAGTTATACTCGATATTACATAAATAGTAAAATTTGATATAGACAATCTTAGTATATTTTTTGTTTATTTTTTCTCCCCTCCCCCTTTTCTCTATAAGAAAAAAATTATACGAGTAAAACGAACGAATGGATGAACCATCTCTTATCGGTACACGTAAGTACATGTAATAAATAGGTAGGATATAATATTCTTTCTACTTTTATGTTAAAAGGAAGAGGATGTAAAAAAAAAGGAAAAGGAAAATCTCTGTTAAAGGAAAAGTGGAGGATTGTACCGGTGTCTTTGAACCGGCTCGAAATCGTTCCTGAAAGGGTGAAGTTAAGAGAGAGAGAGAGAGAGAGAGAGAGAGAGAGAGAAAGAGAGAGAGAAAGAGAGGGAGAAAGAAGACAGAAGGGACCGAACGAACGTTAAAGCTACCCTTTGATGCGAACCAGTTAGAAGATGAATTCGAAGGCAGCTTGGAGTAAGAAAGAGAAAGAGAAAGAGAGAGAGAAAGAGAGAGAGAGAGAGAGAGAGAGAGAGAGAGAGAGAGAGAGAAAGAACTCGAGGGTAGTTAGGTAGCTGGGTGGCTTGCGAGGGTGATGATGGGGTTGGGTACAAACACAGAGATGGTAAAAGTTTATTAATTAGCTGGCATTAAGAGCGTGGCTGCTTCTGTTCGTTGGAGTCGATGAGAAAGAGAAAGATGAAGATAGGAAGAAAAGAGAGAGAAAGAGAGAGAGAGAGAATTTCTCATCAAGAAAAGAAGAACGAAGGTAGGACGATAAAAAGCTCGGGAGCTTTCAAGCTAAAGAGATGCAACCTTCGTTCTTTTACGATCCAAGATATATAGAGACGAAAAGATCGATAAGGCCACACGCAACCAATGTCACCAAGGACGCCACAAGTCCGGATACGAATCGTTTGATAGAAAAAAAAAAAAAAAAGAAAGAAAGAAAGAAAAAAAAAGTCTTATCGATTATTATCTAAATATAGCACGATTCGCATATGTATGAGAAATATTAAATGACTATTTAATGTCCGTTCAATTAAGGATACCACTAAAGGAATCATTTAGAGTCTCTTTTCTCATACTTCGCTCACAAATCAGTCTTTGTCCATTCATATTTAATACATTTTGCTTGCTTGCCAGTACATCATACGTCAAGGGATAATTACGACGAAAACCTTGATAGAGAAAGAGAAAGGACTTTTTTTTTTTTCTATCAACATCCAAACGTGAGATATTAATGTCGTGTTTCAACGCAACCCCAACTTCGTCGTTGTCGATATAATTCTATCTTAATCGTGGCCGCTTCAATTCTCACGCAAATGTATTCGTTTCAATTGTTATATTTGATGTCCCAATGAATCTGTTCTAAAGTATATTATTTCGAGTTGAAAAGGTAAAAAAAGAAGAAAAGAAAAAAAAAGAGGAAAAAAAAAACGAGAAACGCGTAGAATAATTTTTTTCAAATCAACAGATATCTATTTGTATTTTCTTCGTTACCCTAAGCATGCATCTCTGAAAACCATAAAAACAGTATGATAAAGAAATCTGGAGTAAAACGTAACATCTGTATATGCACGCATATACACACAGATATATATATATATATATATATATATATATATATATCTTATAGTATTAAATGAACGATCGTGTATTTGTAATTTTAACTTAGAAATAAATCTAAAGATTTTGATGTGATAGATCGTATCTATAGTTTTCGGATGATAGAAAACGATTCATTTATATCTCGATTTTGATAAAATTCATTTAAGGGAATTAAAATGATCATCAGATAAGATATAAAATGATCTTATTGTTACGCTTTAAAGTTAACGCGTCAAAATATTTTACTGAATTTTATATGACTGACAGACATATAATTTTTCTTAAAAAAAAAAAAACTTATTCCACTAAAGAAATAAAAATGTCTGGTGAAAGATCTACGAAATATTGAAATTTCAATTTCAATAAGGAAAACACCGGTCACCGTTGAAAGATGAAAATACTTTTTCCGAATCAAGAGACGAAAATATTTGAAAATTCTATTACCATTGGAGTATTACATTATTCTCGTAAAATTATACGGAAAAGGAAATATTGAAAGCCACATAATGTTTATAGGACTCGACTATGAAAAAAATAATATCAGTTATCTCAACAAATATGGAAAACTTCAACATTGTAGCCAAATGGTTAAAGAAAAAATTTTTTATACCTTCATCCTCCTTTACCATACAAGCGATACTCGGTATTCTAGATATTATATATATATATATATATATATATATATATATATATATATATAATATATATACTTTCTATACACCCCCGTTCACCCAGTCGGGAGTCTCGACGAAGCCCAGAACAGGAAGGAGAGAGATTTGCAGGCCCCGTGGGCTTGTTTGACTTTACTTGCAGCTATGTAATTGAATATTATACCAGGCTGCCTCGTTGGAAGGGTTGAAAACTCTTACGAAGTGGGAGGGGTTTGTTGGAGAATTCGAATGGTGGACGAGAGATAGCCCCAGAAAGTTGGTAGGGGATGCTTGATGGAGTGATCCATAAGAGGAACCAGAAAATTAACTGAAAATCTCACGAAATCGCAAAGGACCCTTCGGCGGAAAGGGGGATGGGACGCCGGAGGAATGTTTACCCTTTATTATACTCGCGCATCTTCTCTTCCAACGGATCTTCACTGCTCCTCGTCCACCCTCTTCTCTATCTTTTCTCTCTCTCTTTCTCTTGTTCTCTCTCTCTGTCTCTCTCTCTCTCTCTCTCTCTCTCTCTTTTTCTCTCTATCTCTCTTAGCGGAGAATTGAGACCGCAGGGAATCTCTCTTTCTCTTTTCCCATGAAAATCTTTTTTCTTGGGATTTTATTATTTTCTTGGAAATTCAACGAATAAGTATCGCTCTAAAATCTCCTTTCGTTGGAGCGTTAGATTCACTGAATTCATCGGAAATCCGACGGTGTCGTTTATTCAATCGTAATATCCTTTATGATGCATTATACAATTAGATAATCGTTCATCCAAATGTACGACACAATTACTTTTGAAATATACCACGATCACTTTGTATTCTCTCCGATAACGTTTCTCTTTGATTACATTTACATTTTACTATTTAACAATAACAACAACAACAACAACAACAACGATAAAAGAAACCAACAAACAAACAAACAAAAAACGACAACAATAAAAAAAAACAAAAATAAACAAAAATAAAGAAGAAAAAATAAAAGCAATTTCCTTACTGTTTGTAAGAAAACTTATTTCGTTTTGATAAAACTTTCACGTTGACCATTGAAACTATTCATAGAGAATCTTCGGAGAGTGAAAGAGAACAGCGCGCGTTGAAAATATACCGAAAATAAAATCTTTCATATTTCCATTCGCGATAGTTTTAACCTATGTACCTCCGATTCGTCGATTCAACTTTTACTGAAGTACCGATGCCAACGGATTAAGGACGACATTTTCGAGCACATTTCGTCCAATGCAAGGTTAGCCACGCACGTTTCCACGCAACCATCTCTGCTCCATTTCCACCTGAGCTTGTAAGGAGGGAACTATCGAGAGATAGAAGGAGAAAGAAATAGAGAGAGAGATAGAGAAAGATAAAGAAAGACATAGTAGGTAAGAGAGAGTAAGAGTAAAATGGAAAGATCCAGACAGAGTGAGCGAATGAGAAAGAAAGAGAAAGACAGAGAATAAGAGAGAGAGAGAGAAAGAGAGAGAGAGAGAGAGAGAAAGAGAGAAAGAGAGAGAGAGAGAGAGAGAAAGAGAGAGAGAGAGAAGTGGAGGGGGTTGATACCAAGAGGGGATGAAAGCGAACTCGCCGCAGGACGGTTGGTGTACAGTACCGCGTATAGTTCGCTGGTCGATGGTGCGGTCCGTAACGCCCAGCTACTGCGCAACCAATGCGCGAGTCCACCATGTTTAATGCTGCGAATTCGCTCACCCTCCGTGGCTCACCCTCCGTGGCTCACCCTCCTTCGTTCCCCTCCTCCTCCTCCTCCTCCTCTTCCTCCTCTCTCGCTCGTCTTTCTCCTTTCAACCACTGAAACGGGCCGGGGGTTGCGTTCCAGCTTGGCGCCGTATGCTGGTACCGACCCTCGCGTTATACCCTAACCTTCGTCTGTTCGATATCGCCCTATCCTCTCTCTCTGTCTCTCTCTCTCTCTTTCTCTTTCTTTCTCTCTCTCTCTCTCTCTCTCTTTCTCTTTCTTTCTCTCTCTCTCTCTCTTTCTCTCTCTTTCTCTCTCGTTCTTGTATCCGCTCTTCATCCCTCTATCTATCTGTCTTTCTCTATGCACGCCGCATAACGGACAACAAATTCCCATGTACATACGAACGGCTCAAAACCGCAGCAGCAGCTATCTTCTACCTTTTTCGATTTTCACCTCTTCTCTTTCGCTTTTTCTCTTTTTATTCGTTATGTTCTTTATTTTTTTCTTTTTTTTTACTTTATATATATATATATATATATATATATATATATATGTTTTTTTTTCTTTATTGCTTTAGACGTTTCTTATTTTATAATATTGAAATATTCGTTTGATTCTTGTATAAATATACAAGCGTTTATTGCATTGAAATCGCTAACAGAGATTAATCGAAAGGTTTTAAAGATTAAAAAATCTATCGTTATATTTATATATATATATATATATATATATATATTTATTTATTTATTGTTGTTGTTAAGATTGATAATTATAATCTTTGTAATCCATGATTATAAAAGTTT